CCTCTACACCTCTGAAGGCGGGAGCGTTGGGACACACAGGGAAGGCGGAGCTGGAGCAATGGCAGGAACGGCAGGAATGGTGCTTTTGACCCTGGTCTGCCTGCCGTGGTGCCCCTGCCCATGCCCCCTGTGGACATGGTGGCAGTGGTGGAAGTGGGGCTCACAGCCTCGCCCCCCACAATGACCCCAGTGAAAAAATAGGACAACAGCAGCACTGGCACCAGTGACTCTGGCTCCCTCCCCAGCTACAGTGGTGCCCGCACCGCTGGAGAGCCTGGTAGCAGCCAGCGGAGGCTGCCCATCTCCCAGCTGCTGCACTGGAGCATTAGCAGCCATGGGGAGCCAAACAGCAGCAACGGCAGGGATCATGGCCTCAGTGCCCCAAGTCACAGGGTAGCACTGCAAGCCCAAAAACAAACCCAGGAGTGGCAAAGGCACCCATGACACCAGCTCCCCACCATCTGCGCCATCATTCCTGGCCACGGTGGCAGTGCCTGTGGCCCAGATAACCCAGACACAGCAGGGGCACCCACCGTCCTGGTGACCCCAGTGACCATGCCTGTAACACCCACAACTGCTGCAACACCACAGCAGCAAGGCACCAGCGACTCTGGAGGCACTAGCAGTGACCAAGGGGACACACGCAACACTCTGGCCCAGGTGGCCGAGGTGGCCGAGGTGGCCGAGGGTGCAAAGCGCTCTGGAAGGTCCTCAGAGTCAACTCAAAAGTGTGTGCTATAGCCATGACCTTGGGGTAGGTGAGGACAGGAACAGGGGTGGGGACAAAAAAAGGGGCACTAAGGGTGCAGTTGAGGCCGGAGCTCCCTGGAGCATGGCAGCCAGGGCAGAAACCGGGCCCTGTGTCTGTTGCTCTAAGGGCCTCCCCGCTGCCCGCAGGCCCCAGGAACGCACACTGCACCCGCACAGGCTCGCCCTCCTGACACCAGGGTGGGACCAGCACGCAGAGGGAGACACAAAAAGGCGATGTTTAAAGGAAAAAGTTTAGCCAAAAAACACTAGGCAAAGAACAGTGCCTGGTATTTGCCTAAACTTCCAAGGGGCCCTTTGATAGCTCTGAAGCTTCAGGTAAGTTTTTTGAGCCAAGTCCAAGTAAATCCCACCCCTGACTGGGTAACCCAGTTGGTTAGAGCACTGTTCCACACGCCAAGGTTGAGGGTTCAATCCCCAGTCAGGGCACATACAACTGATGAATGTGGAAGTGAAACAGCAGGTCAATGTTTCTCTCTCCCTTCCTCTCTCTCTAAAATCAGTGAAAAGGCTGAGTAAATCGCAAACAGCACGGTGACCTCAATAACAGCTGGGTTTCAACCGGAAAACTGCACCCACAAGCTGTATTTTATTCATATCTTTAAAATTACCCAACATTCCGTATCACGTCCCTGTTATCACTAGGTGTGCCGACTCACGCAGAGGGTTTCACAGGATGGGGGGTGGGGCTCGCATGGACACGGAGATGGTCACTGGACCCTGCTGCTCCCCAGAGGACAGGACTCGCAGGCAGGCAGGGCCCTCAGCAAAAGGACAGACGAACGGACTGTTCCATGCCCACAAAACATGCACAGAGGTCCCTTGGTGGGGTCCAGGAGCTGCCATTGTTGTGGCAGCCGACCGTGTCCCAGGGGGAACCTGGGTTTGCAAAGCACCCAAGAGCGTGGTCTATGCTGCACTTCACATCCTGTGACCGGAACAACGCTCTGCTCCGCTGCTGCCCAGAAGCCCTCCCGGGCCAGCTGGGCACCAGCCCTCCCACCAAAACCCCTGCAGACCGCAGAACAGACAGGCTTCCTGTGCAGAGGTCCAGGACTCCTTCCCGAGCTGAGGGCCTTTAAACACCAAAGCAAGTAGCATTTGGGTGGAGGGAGAAAACCAAGCCCAGCAGGGACAAAAGGTGCGGTAGCCCAGGTCTGAGCAGTCTGGTGTCGCGAATGGGGCACAAGTCAGGGCACCTGACAGGGTGATCAGTGGAGATGGGAGTAGACACACTCACACACACCACACACACCACATATACAACACATTCACACAAACACATCACCCCCCACACACAGACTTGAGAGTGCCGTCATCTGGTTCTGGGGCGAACATTACAAACTCCTGATGTGTCTAAAACCTTTGGTATTAATATAATCAGGCTGAGAAAATAGCCTTTTGTATAACCACGTTGCTACCTACTGCACAGGACATTCTGTGTCTCAAAGCAATCATATCTATGCAATATATCACTAGCAAAATAGCACATATGGACATATACCCATAAATACATAAATAATCTCAGAAAGGCCTTGGACACTTTCTTGTCTTGCCTTTATGCAGCTGATTTTAGTCTACAAAGTTTGGTTCATGATTTTAGAGAGAAGAGACAAAGACAGACGTGGGAAAGGGGTACTTCTAATCCCTAAAGAAATTACGAAACCAATACTTCCACGGGGCACGTTGTGAAGATAAACCAAATCCGGTGGGGCAGGGTGGGGTAAAAAGAGGCTTGCAAGAGCTGCCAGTCAAACAACATCATGTATCATTTGGCTTACGCTGCATAACAAACCTTTCCAATGCTTAATCATTCACAGCAGGGTCATTCATTAGCTCAGGGTTAAGTCATTTACTGGTCAGCAATCCCAGCTGGGTCAGCTGGGATTCTTCCGTTGGTCATCTGTGGGCCCACCCCCACTTCGACAGTAAACGGATGCTAAGCTGCAAGGCTGGAGGGTTGAAGCTGTTTCTCTGGTGTCTTAGGCTCAGTAAGTAATTAACAGCATAACAGCACAAGTGTTTTAAACCAGATTCACTATGATCAATTTTTTTTGGCTGGCCTCGTGTCCCGAAGAAGCAACCAGTAAAGAATTTTGTTCTTCTAAAAGCACTACTTATTTGCTCTGAAGCCAATATAAACCCGCTGTTGCTCTGGGCTTTGCAGCACCGTAACCCACTTAGTGAGTTTCCTGATATGACACCATTTATAGACGAAAGGCTGTCAGGACGCCTTCCCCACAGACCCCTGTGCAGGACAGTGTTCCCCGCCCTCATATTGACCCCAAGCAGATCCCACTTGGGCAGTGTGTGGATCCTGGGGTGGGAAGGGCTGGTATCACGACTTCACTCCGCACGTTCAGGCCTCACTAGTGGCTGTGTGACTGGGTGGGGTGAAGGGGCGGTGTTGCAGTGTCCCCCGAGTACATGGGCTGTTGAGAAGCAACCATAAGTAATGAGACAATGACAATGTTGGCCTGGACGTGGAGACTTTGGAAGCCCTGTGCACTGTCCATTTGATGGTTAAAAGAGAAAACCACCATCTAAAACAGTATGACCATCCTCAAAAATTAAAAATAGAACTACTACCTGATTGAGGAACTTCACTTCTAGGTATAAATCAAAGGAATTAAAGCAGGTCAGGATGAGATCTGTTTTTGTGCGCCCATGTTCATTGCCACACAGCCAAGAGGTAGAAGACATGCAAGTGTGTATAGATGGATGAATGAAGAAACCAAATGCAATATATACAAACAATGGAACAGCCTTAATATGGAAAGAAATTCTAGCCCATGTTGCAGTGTGGACATGAACCTAAGGGCAGTCAACCGGTAACAAAGAGACAAACACTGAATGAGTGCACTCGTAAGAGGTATGCCAAGTAGTGAAGTTCATAGCAACAGAGAGGAGAATGGTGGTCACCTCTGCAAAGGGGAAAGGGGGGAAATGATTTTTACTTAATGGGTATAGAGTTTTCAATTTGCAGAATGAGAAGTTGCTGCGGCTCTGTTGCACATCACGGTGAGTATACAATCACCACTGCACTGTGGACTTACAGTTACAGAGGTGAATTTCATGTCATGTGTTAGTTACACAGTTTCACAAACACAATGACCACACACACTAAACGTGGGAGCGGATGGAGAGGAACTGGATCTCTCACACATGGCTGGGAGCAATGTGCAGAGATGTAGCCACTCTGGGAAACAGGTTTCAGGGTTGGAAAAATGGAATGTATACATACCATGCAATCCACCCTCATGCTCCTGGGCATTGATCTCAGAGAGATGAAAACTTATGTTCACCCCCAATCCTGAACACAGTTGTTCTTGTGATATGCATACTGGTTCATTTCTAACCCCAAAACTACAAGACAACACTGATGTCCTTCAGGAGGGAATGCTCAGCAAAGGGTGATGCACCCACAGGAGGAGACTCCCTGGACAATAAGAAGGATGGAGCTACTGATACAGGGACAATAGGAGAGATTTGGAGAGTAATGCCCAGTGATTGAAGCTGATGGCAAAGATTAGATGCTGCATAAACATATGACTATGTAACATTCTTGAAAAGGCGAAATGACAGAGATGGAACAGAGAACCGTGGCAGTGGGGTGGGTGTGGGCAGGGAGAGGGAGCAGGAGGGAAACCTTCCTGGGGATGGCAGAGTCCTGTGTGTGGATGGAGGTGGTGGTCACAGCAGTGTACCTCATGGTGACAGGATGTGAGACTACAGCTGCACATCTCACAGTCACCGCCCTCCAATGGGACTGTGACTACAAAAGATAAACCACTGGGAAAGCAGAGGAAGTGTGGGTGGGACTTCTCTCTACTACCTTTATGATTCTCTGTGAACAAATAATTATTTCAAAATGACAGCTTCAATTTGAAAAAATGGTCATTTTTCCTGTTGTTTAAAGTTGTTGGAGTGACATCATTGATTATTTATTGGGAATTCAAATAAATGACTTATTTGCTCACAGGAGAAGAGAATGCAATGTGTTTGTCTTGCGTGAACATCTCAGAAACCTGAACTTCAGCCCCGAGCAGCCAGTGGGCACCCACTCATGCTGCTGCCCTGTGGCCAGTGTCACACTGGAAATCCTCCCTGTGAGCAGGGACTGCGAACTTCTGATGAGCTTCCCGTCATTGTTCTGGGACCCTGAGGAGTAATTCAGCACTTAGTTCCACTAGAGGCCAGGTGTCAGCTCAGGAGCAGACTGCAACTTGTAACTGATGATCCTAATCACTTAACAGGGGACACACTGCACTGGGGACAGCAGCTTAGGTCCTGTGGACATGCCAGGCTGAGTCCCTGTGCACCAGGCAATTTGCGGCTTGGACAACAAAGTGTCTCATGCCCAGAGGGAGATGAGGTCACTGGGCCCCTCCTCATAACCCCGATCCTGCTGCTGCCCAGCAGCACAGCTGAGAGCAGCCCCCCTGCAGGGACCTGCTGAGGAGACAGGCTGTGGTGAGGATGCCAGTGTGACTGGCGGCTCGGGCTGGCAAGAGATGGTGAGTGTTTCCCAGAATTTCTGCTCCTCGCTTGATTCTCGTCATTCCACAGGTGACCTCAGTCTTATATCTGTGTGCCCTCTGTTTCAGCTTGCTGCTTTCTATTCACTTTTGTGCACAATCAGGCTTTTTTTAAATACCAGCTTTTAGAATTTCTTGTTCACTTTTTTCCTTTCTTTACTGGCTAATTTCCCTTTTTTGTGTTTTTTCTCCTTTTAAATTTTCTGCTTTGTGTTCATGATTATTTTCAGTTTTCTTCTTGACATGGATTTCAAAACCTTGCCCAGCATAGAACTGAGACACTTTTCGTGAGTTCATTATGTTCCTCACACACACTGGACTACGGGCTGGAATACATTATGTGGCGATGCCCTGATCTGCCCCGGACTCTCTCCCTGACCAGCCCCCCGTGGCCGGTCCCCACGTAAGGGCTCTCGTCTCTACAGGCATCTGTTTCCAGTCCTGGCTTCTCTGTGTTGGCTGCACATTCTGTTCGGTTTTTATTCACTTGTTCTCAGGGCCTCGTTTAAGTACCTGACAGTGTTTCATGTCTTTCAGGTGCACATTTAACCCTTTACCTGACCAATAATTATATGTCACTTTCTTCATTGTTCTATTTTTCTGCTCCTGTGGCATGTGTTGGTCCTTTTTGCTGCTGTTTACAGTTTTCTACTGTCTCTAAGATTTTTGCTACTGTAGCATATTTTCAGAAGTGTAACTGTTGTTCTTCTTTCTTCCTTGTTTTCCGTTTTTTATGCTCAAGTCTATTCACTTTAAGTCTAAATGCACTTGCAAACCCTAATCCACTCTGCATGCCAGAATTTGAAGTTACGTTTCTAACAAATTACTTTCTTCTCCATAGGGCTTGTTATTACATTCCCTCTACATTTATTTATCCCTGAAACTTGACAAACTGCTTCTCAGTCTTAATTGTTTTAGCACTTACTTTCATAGTCAAATTATTTGTCTCCAGGATATGCTGTCCATGGCGGGAACATCTCAGAGAGACCGCCATTCCATGATTTCCAGAGACACCCCGTTTGGGGTCTTCCTCTCCATTCAAACTGGAGTTGGTTTCCTGGGGAACTGCTTGCTGTTCACTTTATACATGTACACCTTCTTCACTCTCCCCCATAAGAGGAAGCCTGCTGATGGGATCCTTGCCCACTTAACTTTGGCTAACAGCCTGACCGTCCTATTCAGAGGGGTTCCAAATATAATTCGTTCCTTTGGAATGAGGCCTGAGACAAGTGACACTGAGTGTAAACTTGTTCTCTACATTCAGCGAGTTACCCGGGGTATTTCTCTGTGCACCACCTCCCTCCAGAGCTCGTTCCAGGCCGTGACCATTGCTGTAAGTGGTTGTAAATGGGCCTGGCTCAAGAACAACATCTTCACACTCATTCAACCCTCCATATTTTTCTGCTGGATCATCAACATGGTCATGTATTCTGAGGTTATCTTAAACATTGTGGCCATTAGGAATGCCAGTGATGTTACATCTTGGTATTATAGACCTTTTTGTAAGCTCAGTATGTATAACCACCAGGTGTCCATGGTGTTTCTCAGTAGCATGATTATTCAGGACTCATTGTTTCTCTTCCTAATGGCATGCAGTAGTATCTACATGGTGACTGTCCTTACCAAACACCACAGGACAGCTCAGAGCATCCGCAGCAGCGCCCGCTACTCAGGAAGCTCTCCTGAACGCAAAGCCACCCAGGTCATCCTCACACTGGTTTGCTGCTTCGTTTTCTTTTACTGGACCAATAGCTTTCTTACTGCTTATACACAGTTTGGAAATAAGCTGAATTGGCAACTGGAGAACATTAATAACTTTATTTCTTCGTGTTACCCGACCATCTGTCCTTTCATCCTGATGATAAATGAGAAAAGAATTTCCAGAGTGCATTTCTTCAATAGTAGGACCAGAATTTTTTTTCATTAAAGTAAATGAAATGATCCTATGAACACTCCTCAGCATTTGTCTTCACGAGAAGATTCATTTATATGCGTCCAGAGTCATGTGGTCACCAATGATTGGAAGGATGTATCGAGTCCCCATTGTGCTGAATTAATGGGAAGTAAAATCAATGCATTGACTATTTATGAAACTTTTCAGACATTACATGTAATGTTTAGATTATAACACTGTTATGAGTGGTTTAAACTTCAAAAAATAATAACATATGTAATGGATGGTGTTTTGTAATATTGGAAACATTATAAAATCCTAAAATCATAAAAATTTTTTCTCTTGTTGATTTGATTTTATTTTAAATACACTTTGTCTATTATACCATTACAGTTATCCCGTTCTTTTTTCCTCCCCTCTATGCCCCTCTGCCCTGCACACCCCTTCCCACCACTATTCCTTCCCCTTCTTTGTTCTTGTCCATGGGTCATACATGTAAGTTCTTTGGCTTTTCCACTTTCTATACTATTCTTAACCTCCCCTGTCTATACTTTTGTACCTACCATTTATGGTTTTTATTCCCGGTAACTTTTCCTCCATCCTTCTTCCTCTCATACCTGTTCATGTCATCTCCATTTCTGTGATTCTGTTCCCGTTCTAGTTGTTGACTTAGTTCGTTTTTGTTGTTGTTTCATTTTAGGCTCAGTTGTTGATGTTGGTGAATATGTTGTCATTTTACTGTTTATATTTTTGATCTATTTCTTAGACAGGTCCCTTTAACATTTCATATAATAAGGGCTTGGTGATGATGAACTCCTTTAATTTGACTTTATCTGGGGAAGTACTCTATCTGCCCTTCCATTCTAAATGATAGCTCTGCTGGATAGAGCAGACTTGAATGGAGGTCCTCGTCTTTCATGACTCGGAATACTTCTTTCCAGCTCCTTCTTTCCTGCAAGGGTTCTTTTGAGAAATCAGCTGATAGTCATATGGGAACTCCTTTGTATAGGTAAGTGTCTCCTTTTCTCTTGCTGCTTTTAAGATTCCCTCCTTCTCTTCAACCTTGGGTAATGTAATTATGATGTGCCTTGCTGTGTGCTTCCTTGGGTCCCATTTCTTTTGGACTCTCTGTACTTCCTGGATTTCCTGGAAGTCTATTTTCTATTTTTTTTTAATGTTTACTGATGTGTCCTTTTTTTTTTTAATTTTATTTAGTTACTTTTCAAGTACATTTTTTTTTCTCTCCCCCCCCCCGCCCGGTCTCCCCTCTCCCTCCCATTCCCCCCCCCCAGTCCTCATCTCTGTGTCTTTCATACTTGTTCCTCAAAATCCCTCACCCTTTTTCCCCTTAAGTTCCCTTCCCTCTCCCCTCTGGTCGCTGCCCACTTGTTCTCTATTTCAGCGTCTTTGTTTTTATTGTTTGCTTGTTTGTTTTATTCTTTAGCTTCCTGTCAAAGGTGAGATCATATGGTATTTGTCCTTCAATGCCTGGCCTATTTCACTCAGCATAATGCTTTCCAGTTCCATCCATGTTGTTGCAAAAGGTAGTAGTTCCTTCTTTCTCTCTGCTGCATAAAATTCCATGGTGTATATGTACCACAATTTTTGGATCCATTCATTTACTGATGGGCACCTAGGTTGCTTCCAACTCTTGGCTATTGTAAATTGTGCTGCTATGAACATTGTGGTGCATAGGTTCTTTGAAATTGATGTTTTAGGATTCTTGGGGTATAATCCTAGCAGTGGAATTGCTGGGTCAAAAGGCAGGTCAATTTTTATTTTTCTGAGAAAATTCCATACTGTTTTCCATAATGGTTGTACCAGTCTACAATCCCACCAACAGTGAACTAAGGTCCCCTTTTCCCCACACCCTCTCCAACATTTGTTGTTTGTTGCTTTGTCTATTATAGCCATCCTGACTGGTGTAAAGTGGTATCTCATTGTGGTTTTAATTTGCATCTCTCTGATAGCTAACGATATTGAGCATCTCTTCATGTGTCTCTGGATATTCTGTATGTCCTCTTTAGAGAAGTGTCTGTTCAAGTCCTTTTCCCATTTTTTAATTGGGTTCGATGTCTTCCTAGAGTGGAGTCATGTAAGTTCTTTGTATATTTTGGAGATTAAACCTTTGTCTGAGGTATCATTGGCAAATATGTTTTCCCATACAGTTGGTTGTCTTTTTAATTTAATACTGTTTTCTTTAGCCATGCAGAAGCTTTTTATTTTGATGAGATCCCATTTGTTTATTCTTTCCTTTATATTCCTTGCTCTAGGGCACATATCCGTAAAAATGTTGCTGTGTGGAATATCTGAGATTTTCTTGCCAATGTTCTCCTCTAGGACTTTAATGGTGTCATGGCTTATATTTAAGTCTTTTATCCACCTTGAATTTATTTTGGTGTATGGTGTAAGTTGGTGCTCAAGTTTCATTTTTTTGCACGTAGCTGTCCAGTTCTCCCAACACCATTTGCTGAAGAGGCTATCTTTACTCCATTTTATGTTACTGCCCCCTTTGTCGAATATTAATTGACTGTAGAGGGTTGGGTTGATTTCTGGGCTCTCTGTTCTGTTCCATTGGTCTATGTGCCTATTTTTATGCCAGTACCAGGCTGTTTTGATTACAGTGGCCTTGTAATACAGTTTGATATCAGGTATTGTGATCCCTCCTACTTTGTTCTTCTTTCTCAAAAGAGCAGCTGCTATTCGGGCTCGTTTATGATTCCATATAAATTTTTGAAGTGTTTGTTCTATGTCTGTGAAATACGCCATTGGTACTTTAATAGGTATTGCATTGAATCTGTATATTGCTTTGGGTAGTATGGACATTTTGATGATGTTAATTCTTCCAATCCATGAACACGGTATATGTTTCCATTTGTTTGTGTCTTCCTTGATTTCTTTCTTCAGTGCTGTGTAGTTTTCTGCATACAGGTCTTTTACCTCTTTGGTTAGGTTTATTCCCAGATATTTTATTTTTCTTTTTGCTATGTCGAATGGGATTTTTTCCTTGATTTCTGCTTCTGCTGATTCATTGTTTGTATACAAAAATGCCTTTGATTTCTGGATATTGACTTTGTATCCTGCTGTTTTGCCAAATTCATTAATTAGTTTGAGCAGTTTTTGGGTAGAGTCTATAGGATTTTCCATGTACACTATCATGTCATCTGCAAACAGTGACAATTTTGTTTCCTCCTTTCCTATTTGGATGCCTTTTATTTCCTTTTCCTGCCTGATCACTGTGGCCAAAACTTCTAATACTATATTGAATAGGAGTGGTGAAAGTGGACATCCTTGTCTTGTTCCTGATCTTAGTGGAAAAGCTTTTAGTTTTTGTCCACTGAGTATGATATTGGCTGTAGGTTTCTCATAAATGGCCTTTATTGTATTGAGGAATGTTCCCTCTATTCCCATTTTGCTGAGTGTTTTTATCATAAATGGGTGTTGTACCTTATCAAAAGCTTTTTCTGCGTCTATTGATATGATCATGTGGTTTTTGTCTTTGCTTTTGTTTATGTGATGAATTACATTTACTGTTTTGCGAATGTTGAACCATCTTTGCATCCCTGGGATGAATCCCACTTGGTCAGGGTGTATAATCTTTTGGATATATTGTTGGATGCGATTTGCTAATATTTTGTTGAGGATTTTAGCATCTATGTTCATCAGCGATATTGGCCTGAAGTTTTCTTTCTTTGTTGTATCTCTGTCTGGTTTTGGAATTAGGATGATGCTGGCTTCATAAAAGGAGTTAGGGAGTTTTCCATCCTTTTGGATTTTTTGGAATAGTCTGTGAAGAATGGGGGTTAGCTCTTCCTTAAATGCTTTGTAGAATTCTCCTGTGAATCCATCTGGTCCAGGGCTTTTGTGTGATGGGAGTTTTTTGATTACTGCTTCAATTTCTTTTGCTGTTATTGGTCTATTCAGGTGTTCTACTTCTTTTTCATTGAGTTTTGGGAGATTATATTTTTCTAGAAATGTGTCCATTTCCCCTAGGTTCTCAAATTTCTTGGCATACAGTTCTTCATAGTAATTTCTTACAATCCTCTCTATTTCTGTGGTATCAGTTGTAATCTCTCCTCTTTCATTTCTGATTGTGTTTATTTGTGTCCGTTCCCTTCTTTTCTTGATGAGCCTACTTAAAGGCTTGTCTATTTTGTTTATTTTTTCAAAGAACCAACTCCTGGATTCATTGATCTTTAGAATTGTACTTTTAGTCTCTATGTCATTTAGTTCTGCTCTGATCTTAGTTATTTCCTTCCTTCTACTTGCTTTGGGCTGTTTTTGTTGTTGTTCCTCGAGTTCTTGCAGGCGTAGAGTAAGTTCATTTGTTTGAAATGTTTCTGTTTTCTTTAGGTAGGCCTGTATTGCTATAAACTTCCCTCTCAGGACTGCCTTGGCTGTATCCCATAAGTTTTGGGTTGTTGTGAGATCATTTTCATTTGTTTCCAGAAACTTTTTGATTTCTTCCCTAATTTCATTCTTGACCCATTCATTGTTTAATAGCATACTGTTCAGTCTCCATGATTTTGGGTGTTTTGGGTTTTTTCCTTTGGGGTTGGTTTCCAGTTTCAGTCCCTTATGGTCAGAGAAAATGCTTGGTATGATTTCAATATTCTTGAATTTGTTGAGGCTTGTTTTGTGCCCTATCATGTGATCTATCTTTGAGAATGTCCCATGTGCATTTGAAAAGAATGTGTATTTAGCTTCTTTGGGGTGAAGAGCTCTGTATATATCAGTTAGGTCCATTTCATCAAGGGTGTTGTTTAATGCCGCACTGTCTTTGTTGATATTTTGTTTGGAAGATCTGTCCATTTTTGATAGTGGGGTGTTAAAATCCCCCACTATAATTGTGTTGCTGTCTATATCTTTCTTGAATTCCTCTAAGATTTTCCTTATATATTTTGGTGCTCCTATGTTGGGTGCATATATATTTATGATGTTAATGTCTTCTTGGCGGATTCTTCCCTTGAGTATTATGAAGTGATCTTCTGGGTCACTCTTTATGGCTCTTTTTTTGAAGTCTATTTTGTCTGATATGAGAATTGCTACCCCAGCTTTTTTTTCTTGTCCATTTGCTTGGAAAATTTGTTTCCAGCCTTTGATTTTTAGTCTGTGATGGTCTTTTGTCCTGAGGTGGGTCTCTTGTAGGCAGCATATGTGTGGGTCATACTTTCTTATCCATGACGCTATTCTGTGTCTTTTGATTGGAGCATTTAATCCATTTACATTTAAAGTTATTATTGATAGGTACTTATTCA